AGTTGTGCATCAGTAGTGATCAGCACAGCATCTTAACAGATAAGATGAGGAAGTAACGTTTGCAAAGCAAATCATCAATGTGGGCAGCTGGTCATAAAAATAGATTTACAGTTTTTACAGTACAGTGCACACCTAAAGAGCTGTTATTTTCATGTTTTGCGTACACTTTATATATACTGAACAAAAAACATAACTTATAACTGTTAGAAACTTATCAGGAAAATGGTACATTGACATTTCATGGAACAGACATAAGTAAATTAATTATGCAGATTAAAGTTTGTCATAGAAAGCATTGATCAGCATGGAGTAATAGTGTGTGTGACCACTACAGAACAGTGCAGACTATACAGTGCATTTGCATCATACACTTTGAACCAGGTTGCAGATGATGTTTTGTGGAACTCTGTCCTATATCTTCTGTCCAAGATTATGCCTGTTCACAGGACTCCAATCATAGAACCTTTTTGCATTTTTCTTTTTTTTTCCACCACACTTGAGTTTCGAGGAGTTAAATCGGATCATTGTGCCCATTTAACTCGCGCTGATGAGGTGATTTCGTGCTTATGCAACAGTCAAAGCCACTTGAGTATATCACAGTCACGAAGGATCAATGAATCAAAATGATGCCACAACATTTAACAAAGATCTGTATATTGTGTTATTATAGCTGTGCCCTACCTCTGGAAATGCATAGTTGTGCCAGATGTTTGTGTGTAGAATGCAACTTTAAAATGCAATATTTTACACATTAGGGAGAACATGAAATAAAATGACATTCAGTTGTTCTGAAAGCTTCTGTAGTATAGGAAGTGTGTATGCGAGTAACTATTAATGTTAAGAGTTTATTCTGTTTCATTTCCAGTGATTTGGTCTTTTGATTAGCTGTCATTGAACAAACCACAAACTTTTACTCTTGCAGTAGAAATAAATTAAACCCCAAGCAGATGATCCTCTGTGTTGCGGTGGAAGTGACAGATTCTGGGCCTTCTAATTGGCATCTTAGCTTTCCTTTGCAGTTTTAGCTTCAAGCTAAACTTGTCATCTGTGATCAGAAATGTTGCAAAGTAAACAACACAGTATCATCAACCTTTTTTATAAAAGGTGTTTTTTGTTATTTTTTTCAAGAATCAAATTCAACACTGACATTGTGTGGCAGAGCAGATTTAAGGCCATAGTGTGTGATTAAGGTTTTTGCTTTTTTGACATGTGACCTTAACCATGTTGTAATTAACCTGCCTGCCTATTTTTAGGTCCTCCCGTGGTCTTGTTTCAGTTGAATTGGCTGGCCAGGAGGCCTCATTACAAACTGGCATTTGAAACAAGCTTCAGTGTGCTTCTCTGTTGTGTATTGTTTCTGGTAATTGCAGTGTTTTCTTTTTCTTTCACTTCATAACTTTCACCATGTTACCTCGCTGTACTCGCTTGCTTCTTCTCTCTGTGCGGACAGTGTTCGCACTGTGTGTCCATTCCAGCTGAGGACAGCTCTTGCAGCCCTTGCTTGTGTACAGTACATCCGTGTGAAGAATCTCCCAGAGTCGTTCGGCTCAGCTTTGTAGCGGTGTTCACTGCACACGTTCTCTCCAGCTGTCGATACAAATTTCACTCATGTCGTACAAGTCCCTGACTTGTTGCCTTTCAAAGTATAAACCAGCTGCCATTTACCCAGACTTTGAGGCCAAGACAAAGTTCATTTGAGAAATTGTGACCAAATCACTGAAAATATGGCCGTTCTGTTGCTGCCATTAATGATGGCCTCCTTGATCTAGACCTGCACTGGAGCTGCCTGGTAGACCCAAGGTGCACAGGTCAGACAACCTGATCAGCGCTTGCTCAGCTGTTTCGGGATCCTTTCTGTCTCACGGCTGCCACTTGGAAATATCCGGGAGCAGAA